GATTAAAGAATCACTCTGTATTACGGGCTATAGAGTCCTTCAAGCATTCTTTAGAAAGCAGTATTAGCTATTATTATGGAGCTAAATATTAGCTCAGTATTAGCTAAAATTTATTGAGCCAGGTACAATACCTATACCATTTCTAATCCTTACAACTTTGCCAGGTGAGTTAGTGATAACCAATATTCACCCAGCCTTTACCATCAACTCGTCTAAGATATGGTAAACACAAGTAAAGCCCTTATAATAGTAGTTGACACTTAGTAACACTCAATAAATGTTCATTGTTTTTATCTTCTTGTACTTCTGTAAGCAGATGGAGAATTTTTGACTCAACTACAGTTTTTTTTTTTCTTTTCAACTTGATAAAATTAACCTGAGGAAATCATTTGGCTCCTTTTATTAGTTCACTATTTCTCGGCTTTGTATTAACCACATATTTTGTCCTTAAAGTCATTCAAAAGGATGATCAAGGATCAAGAGCTTCAGGTTGTTCTGGGCCTGGCCTGCCTTGCGCAGTTTTCTGAGGTCTGTTTCTTCCGTGGAGGAAGCACTATCCTGCACAAGGAGAATGGCACCTGAAAGTTGAGTTTCAGCTCTAACAGGAGAACACTGAAAACACAGCTCTAGTTTGCTTTTCACATACTAAAATTCATTTTGAAAAACACAGCTTTTCTCAGCTCAATTAAAGGGAAGGAGAAAGAGTTGATGCCCCTGGTGATCAGGTGCGGGGCTGCTGGTGGCACCTGCTACTCCAGCCTGAGAACTGGTGTATGTAGGCATTACATAATGTTTGGGGAACATTATTTAGTAAACAGGCATGAGAATTTTACAGTTTACCATGTAGGATACTGTATTTTAACTCAGCATCTCTCTTTTTCCCCTGCAAGTATCAGCTTGGATTTTTGGGCCAATTCCCTTGGGCTCACATTTCTTTGAACTGGGAAGGACTCATAGAACTGGTCTAGGTGGTTATAGAAAACCTCAGCAGTTGGACGCCTGTGGCTGCTGATCTGGTCTGTTACCCGTTGGGAAAGGAAATGCTCTGGAATGAAGAGTGTCTGGGTCAGATTTAGGCAATACGGGAAGAAGCCTGCTGGAAGGAGACCTGGGGTTTGGTTCCTGGGCACTACACCCAATCTCAAGTCGTGTTGGGAGCTGTTCTTACCCTGAATATGAAGCTCAGTTCCCCAACTCCTTTTATTCTATTTTTCTTTTTTTGTATTCCACCAGATGTCCTTCAGTCTGACATAGAGAGGGTTAAGGTGCCTTCCAAAGCACACAAGGTCACCCTTATTCACAAAATGTCAGGGCTAGAAGCAGATCTGGAAATATATTTAGCAGAGATTTTAGTAAGATATATTTACATGGTTCACTCTCGCTTCCATGGGTGATGTTATTGCTAGCCATTCCAGTAAAGGAAATGGAATAGCTTCTAAGAATATTCCTACCAACGCGTGTGCTGACTCACATGACATTCTCCGTCCTCTTTTGGACCAGATTCTTATCATGAGATGTATGTGTTCCACAGGGACCAGTACCAGTGACAGTTTGTGGTGGAGGAGCAACAAGGTTTAAAATATTAAGAGCCAGTAGCTAGTCTGTGAAAAAACTTTCCAAATCTAATAGATCATAAATTAAACAAAACTTGAAGATAGAGCTTTCCTCTAATTTGACAGCATCCTAATATTTACATTACATTAGCAAATATGATTTGTTAAGTTTTGCAATAAAATGCAAAAAGCCTCAGTGAGGCTATAGGAAATACTGAATTGTCTTTCTATTTTCTTCATAGGAAATATTGCAAAATAATTGTCAAATGAAGACCTGATTAAAGAATATACAGCCAGAAATGTACCAAACAAGTATTATAAAGGGATGTCAGGGGGGCGGCCTAGTGGTGCAGTGGTTAAGTTTGCACGCTCTGCTTTGGTGGCTTGGGGTTTGCCAGTTCGGATCCCTGGTGCGGACATGGCACCACTTGGCAAGCCATGCTGTGGCAGGCGTCCCACATATAAAGTAGAGGAAGATGGGCATGGATATTAGCTCAGGGCCAGTCTTCCTCAGCAAAAAGAGGAGGATTGGCAGCAGATGTTAGCTCAGGGCTAATCTTCCTCACACACACACACACAAAAGATATAATAAGTAAATGTGTTGCAAAAATGGAACAATGTGATGATCTGAAGGGAGAGGTAAGTCTGTAAAAGAAGAAAGAGCGATGGGCTGGTGAACAGGAATGTGAGGAGGAACAGGGCAAGGAATGAATCAGGTCTTTTTCCCCTGGCAGACATCTAGGTTCCACCTGCTGCAGTTCCAGAAGCAAAGTCTGTGAAACCGGGACATGCCGCTTGAGTCAGCACACCTGCTTTGCTGTGAGGTCTATGAGGCTAGAATTGAGCAGCTGGAGACCCGAGGGTGGGTGAGATTTCTGGGAGAGTGGTTGTAGGGAAGAAAGTGATGAAGAACAAAGAAAACAGAGATAGGAGGATTGATTAGAAAACTCTGGTGGAATTCAAAGAAAGCGAACCTCTCAAAAAGGGGATAGTCAGCTGTGGAGAACTGAAGAGACAAGGTGAACACCACTGGAGAATGTAGATTTGTTGAAGCTCTGGAGATGGAACTAGATTAAAGTGGGTGGATGATACAAAAGTGGAAGGAGTGGGTGGAGACCAGAAGTTTGGCAGAGAAAGGAAGGAGGGTAGTTTACTAATGGAGGGGATTAGCTAAGGTTTTTTTGTTTGCTTTGTTTTATTTCTGGGACAGAGGAGGCATGTTTCAGGGAGTAGACAGACGAGAAGGGTCAGTGAATTAGGAGTGAAGATGTTAGAGAGAGAGGACTCAACTGAATAAGGAAGGAGGTAAGACAGACAGTGGTGGAGAGAACAGATGGGAAAGGAAGCAATATGTCCCCTGTTGAGACTGGTGGAGAGGATGAAAGAAAGAGTGTAAAGAGAGACGCTTGGAGGTAGAATGGAGAGGAGAGGAGGCATCTATCATGAGTTTTCAGGATCGATAAGACAGTAACATGAGGTGTCTGCTGCATTCAACAGAGTCTGTGAATCAGGTTACAGTGGGGATGTCCAAATTGCTTTTCTCCCCATGAGACTAAGCAGAAGATTATGTTACTGTAAACTGATGTTTGAGCTACAACAACAAAAAAAGATACACAGTCTGTTGCACACCTTAGCTTTGTAGCTTTCGGAGAAAATGGGGCAATTGTCTGTCTTTTCATGGCAAGAAGCAGATAATGCAATCTCATCACGACATGATATATACACCTTGTGATCACTTATATGAAGTAAAAGTAGAGACATAATGGGAGGTGACATAAATTTCATAACTGTATGCTGTGGAGTATGTACTTCTTTCTCTGGAAGGATTCCAATAAGCCAATTATCAAGTTTTGTAACTGTCGCTTACTTTGGTGAGTAACAAATTCATCAGAAGAAGAAGAAAGACTTGTATGAATCAGAGGCAGAGCCAGGAGGTAGTCTATCCTTGGTTCTTACTATCAGATCGAACTAAGAAAAGCCAGAAGAACTGGCGAAACCTGCTGGGAAGGAGTGAGTCATTGTGCCTTGTTTGATAAAGCTTGCTGCATTCTCTCATTCTCTCTCTGAGAAAATTCGACTATTCTTCAAAGCAATGCCTTTTGCCCTGAAAAAGTAGCCCATGCCAATGGTGTGATGGTGTTAACCCCCACCCAGATCCTCCCTTTTTGAACCAGTCATCTGGTATGCAAGCCCCTCTAACCCTGTCACTTCCTGGTACCCTTTGCGCTCCTGGACACACTCCTCCTTGGGTCTATGTAAGAAAATAAAAATCACAAGCAGTGGCAGGACTGGGCGGGCAGGTGAGTGAAGCAGGGCAGGACTCTCTTATTAAGACCTTCTTACTTAATCACAGCTACTTCAAAGAAGTGTGGGCCCAAGGGAATTGGCTGAAAAGTCCAAGCAGATGCTTGTAGGGGAAAAGAGTATGGGAAAACATAATTATTTCTTGCAAAATAAGTAGCCGGAACCATGTCAGCATCATGGACTTGTGCTGACATAATTGAGTTAGGTCATGCGAGCGTGACAGATGAGATGCCCCAGAGTCAAGGGGTACTAACTTGTGGATCTCTGCCGGGATGGGTCAACACTCCCCAAGGGGTGTTTAGGGGGTGTTTTGGTCGTCACAGTGGGGGTGCTACTGGTGTTTAGTAGGGGTGGGATGCAGCCATGGTAAATGTCCTGCACTGACTGCACAGACCACGCGGCCCAAGGAAGAACGATCCCACTGAACACGCTAGTATCACCCTATTGAAACACACTGAGTCGGAGATACCAGAGAATGCTTCCTCATGGCATTAGACTTCATGGCTTTTCATGTAACAAATCAAATTCTTTGAAAACAAAATGCAATTAAGTTGGATGCTTTAGACATTGATTCATTTCAATGCCATTTCCAAATATGAAGGACAAGTATCAAGGGGATGACCCTGAGTTTGTGGAGAATGAATAAAGTTGTTTGGATCTACCTTAAAAATAAAATATAAATGGGAGAGGGAGATGGATAACTAGTGACAATGGGTATAGAGTTTCAGTTTTGCAAGATGAAAAAGTTCTGGAGATCTATTGCACGATGATGTGAATACACTTGCTACTGAACTGTACGCTTAAAAATGGTTCAGATGGTAATTTAATGTTCTATGTTTATTACCATAAAAAAAAAAGTCAGTGAAATAAGGAAATAAAAAAGACATAAATGGCTTGGGAATTGGTCAAGACCCTCATTTTAAACCTTTGGAACAGAATTTCCGTATAGCCAGGTCAGACTGTAAGTGAACATAAGTAAGGCCATCTTGTTGCACTAAATGACCCCAGTCCCTCCTTTGTGAGACTACTCGCTGCTCTGCACATACTCAAAAAAAATTCATATGCTCTCTTGATTTATGGCCTCTGCCTTCTGCGTACTCCCCTATAGCTTGATAAAACTTTGTTCTTTGAATTTCTTTCCAGGAACAGGCTGACCACTGGTGGGAAACACACCTACAAGAAATTCATCATCACTGACAGAAGAACAATGAAAGACCCTGGAGTCCGTCATGCCTGAAGGCTGACATTTCTAAACACCCTCCTTACTGCCCATTTCCCCTATATAACTGCCTGAAGATTCTGTAATCCTTGAAGATGGGTTTTTTGAGACATTAGTCACCCGTCTTCTGATTTGCCAGCTAATCTAATGAAAACTTCCTTTCTCATCCCTGACTTGTTGTGATTAACTGGCTCAGATCACTGTCAGCAGAGTGAGCCCATTGCTCAGTATTAAGATGTAAGCAAGTCATGGAGGAGAAGTTTGTATTTGGGGTCCCTGAACATCAGCCATTTTGTTATTTGATCCTTTTTTCTACCTCTTTCCCAGCAGGAATCTTCTCTGCCCTCCCCCAGGAAGCCATAATCTAGTGATAATTCCTTAGCTTTTGACAGTGCATTACAGTTGAGCAATCCTTTGCCCTTACGTTGTCTCATTTGTCTTCCTCGCTTCCTCCCTTTCTCCATACACCACCTCTCCTCCACATTCCAGCCTCCCCCAGGCCTTAGCCTCATTGTCTCTCTCCTAGACTCCAGCAATGGCTTTTCACCTGGTCCCCGGCATCCCTGCTGCCTCTTCCCCACATTCCAAATCCCTTCTCCATACTCCAGTCGTAAAGATCTCTTTTAAAAATTATTCAGATCATATCACTCCTTAGCTTCAAACCCTTTAATACCCTCCTTTGCACTTAAAAACAGTTTCCTTACACACCTCTCTCCTTCCTCGTTTCTACCTCTTGCCCCTTGTGCACTGTGCTCCAGCTCAACGACCTTCCTTCTCTTCCTCAAACAAGCTTAGCTCATTCCCACTGTGGTACCTTTGCACTTGCTGTTCCCTCTGCCTGGAATGCTCTTTAAATGGCTGGCTGTTTGTCATGCTTTACATCTTTGACTGAATGTCACCTTTTCCAGAATCCTTCCTGACCCATCCCCCACCAACTCTTCTAAAATAGCCTCCCTCCTCCTAGTCACCCTGCTTACTGCAGTTACAATTCCTGTCTCAGTCTGAAATTGATTTGTTCACATTTTTATTATTTGTTTTCCTCTATTAGAATATAAGCTCCATGAGGGCAGGGTCATACGTGTTTTATTTATCATTTTATTACCTGCATCCAGAATAGTACTTTTTACATATTAGGCACTCAACTAATATTTGTTCAATGGATGAATGCATGAGTGAATAAATTTGATTTTATAACACTCCTGTGAGACAGGCAGAGAAAATATTCTCAATCTTATTTTACAGATATTTTCAGTTATATTTTACAGAGTATCTGTACTTGCCAGTCATGTAAGTGGTGGAGCCAGGGCAGATCAGAAGTCTTCTAAGTCCCCTCTGCTGCATTCTTTTTGACAGCTCATAAGTGGTTCATCTTAGCCATCTTAGAAGATGGAAGAGGACGCGGGCACTTGGAGAGAAGATCAACCGTCACGCTATACTCACATTCACAAAATTGTAGCCAGAGATGGAAGAGCGGGAGGGTTCCCCGCCAGTGTGTTCCATCCTCACCATGTCTGTACTGGGCGCATGCATAGCATGGCTGGAGGAGGCAGGAGAGCATGGTGGTTCACGGCAGGGCTTTGGAGGAAGACAAACCTGGATTTCACTCCTAATTCTACTACTTACCAGCTGTGTCTTTAGATAAGTTCGTTATCTTTTCTGAGACTCATTCTCCTTTCTTATAATGTGGGAATAACATCACTAACATTTTAACGTTCTTTGGGGGATTAAATAAGAGAATGTCTGATGTTTCGTGTATAGTAAGTGCTGAATAAAGAATATGGTATCAGAATGTTATGAAGATAGGATTCAACAGGCTTATAAGAAGTTTAGCTTTCCAATGCCTCTTTCCTCTCCCTACAGAAATGGAAGGGAAGTTAATTCCTGGTATTTAGAACTGACAAACTCTCAGTGATCATCCAGTCAAGCTACTTATTTTGTACTTTGAGGAAACTCAAGACCAGAGAAGGTGGTGACTTGTCTGGGTTTCCTTGGCCAGTAGTGGGGGAATTGGCAATGGAAATGGAACCTAAATGGACTGACTCCTGTTTGTGACTCTTTCTATTCACTGTTGACATCATAAGGCGTGGAAATCTCAGATTTCCACCTGTTTTTTTCCTTGGCCAAAGTACACAACAGAAGCCAGGAGGGTCCCCTCAGGGCAGATGGGATTGCATAGAGAGGGGCAGGGCCTGACAAGTCCTGCAGCCCTCTCCAGGGCCCGCTTGTTGGCTGTGTGACTTGGGCCAGTTATTTCTTCTCATTGAGTCTCAGTTCCACTATCTACAAAACAGGGATGATAATAGTAGCTATATCTTAGGGTTGTCATAAGAATTAAATAAAATAACCCACATAAAATTGCCTGCAACATAGGAAAGACTCAATAATAGATCTATTTCTAAACTTGTATTAAAAGTGATATTAAAATGGCTTTTGTAGGGGCAAATATAGTTTTGTTCATATAATCTATATACAACATATAATAATATTTGACTAACCTTGGAAAAATATAAACTACATAGTTCTAAAGAAATATATTGATTACCATTGAACACTGGTTTCTGGTAGAGAATAAAACATCCCAAACTGACTGGTAAATGAAATCCCCTGCCCTACATTTCGTGTTGTAAAAACAAATAATGAGGCTGTATTAAATGTTAGTACTAAAAAATGAGTTAAAATACAAAATACATTAGAATAAATTTCTGCAAAGTCTATACAGACAGAGGGAATATATCAATAAAAATGAGCGCAAAGCAACCAGCGACATAGCATATATATGAATGAATTTTTTTAATTTAATTTTTACTGTGGTAACATTGGTTTATAACATTATATAACTTTCAGATGTACATCGTTATATTTCGATTTCTGTGTAGATTACATCGTGTTCACCACCCAGAGACTAATTACAATCCACCACCACACATGAGCCTAATCACCCCTTTTGCCCTCCTCCCTCCCTCTTCCCTCTGGTAACCAGAAATCCAATCTCTATCTCTATGTGATTGTTGTTTTTATCTTCTACTTATGAGTGAGATCATATGGTATTTGATTTTCCCCCTCTGACCTATTTTGTTTAGCATAATACCCTCAAGTTCCATCCAGGTTGTCACAAATGGTCGGATTTCATTGTTTCTTATGGCTGAGTAGTATTCCATTGTGTATATGTACCAGATCTTCTTTATCCGATGAATGAACTTCTGTACAGGGAGTCACAACACATATAGTCAAATATTTCAGTAAAAACTAGCACAAAGTACAGGATCAAACTATTACATTGGAAGGAATGCCAATATCACAGTGACGTGGGCAGTTATATCAAATAGTTCACAGACTATTAGTATACAGAAGGCAGCAAGGGAACAAATTGAATTCCAGCAGAATCCAGTATTACTATTAATACCATATGCCCATAACGATGAGCAGAAACATTTAAAAAAAAAAAAAAGGTATCATAGAGGTTTACTCTTTGTCCTTAGAACCCAGCAAACCTTCTTCAACATTCATCAACCATCAAGCTCAAACCCTTTGTCACTGCTGAATCCTGATGTGTCTCTTCATCGCTGGGTGTCACCACACTAGAAATGAGGCCAACACTTCTTCAAACCAGTAAATCCACATTTCTAGACTGATTTCACCACTACCTTTTGTTTTAAAACAGTGTGTTCACTAGCAACTCAACACTTCTCTTTTTGTTTTCAAGTCTTTGTGATTTTCTTGGTTGTTGCAAAATCTGACCAATCTGTGATACAGGAAAAAGAAATCCCTGTTAGTGGGGCCACCCTGCCAGGCCAGCCTCTCTCCTCAGCTCAGAAAAGCCCTGGAGGAGGGGTAACTAAGAAAGACATTACAGAGAGCTTCCTCTGTCAGGGAGGAGGGCTTCAGACATCCCAAAGGACAGATGAAGCCAGGGGTACTTATTCCTGATAGAAAACATAAATTAGACTCAATGAGGGTAGAGGATGGATGCTCATTTTTGACAGAATAATTTCCTACCATATAGAAATAAAGATTTGACCAACTCCCCACCCTAAATTCAGGGCAAGTTCTTCATGACCAAAGTTTAAGCAAAAGTCTCAGTTTCTATGGTTTATTCCTTAGTTCAAGATCATTTCTGAACATGTTAACTATGGGAATCAGAACACTCAGGGAGGAGCTAGGCAAATGTCCCTGGGGACCAGAAGGCTGCTCAGGCATGAAGGATCTGGGAGGGTTCTGATTCGACAGGTGGAGGATGCCACAGAGTCATCTCGGATTTTTGGCTACAGAAGTAGTAAGCTTTCATGATAGGCATTTCTAACCATTGCTGGGGTTTTCTTAGATGTCGATATATGTCTTGGTAGATAGCAGTGGGTTTGTGTCTCAACAGTAACTGTGCATGACGGTTGTCTCCCCGGTGGACTACTCATAGAGCAATGATGCAAGCGGACCCATTCCAATGTGGAAAGAAAGTCTTAGAACTTGTAACTGCTAAAATCTCACATTATAAGTTTTACTTTTGTGTTTTTTTCTATGAAACAGTGCCAGTATATAGTTTATAAAAAATAAGTGTATGTTTATTGAGGGCATGTGCACAACAACTTTTTACTGATTAGGATGCACAATCAAAAAACATTGGAGACCACTGGCCCATAAGGCAATTGTTTCGGTGTACAGAGCAGAATAATATTAGACTTCAATTTGCTGAGCAATTTCTCAGTTGTGTGCCCTTTACTTGTCATTTAGCCATCAGTTTGGTGGCTAGGATTATAATGATGTAACTAAGGAATAATCTGCTGGTAAATAAGGAACTCCAAAACAAACCACTGAGTCGTGGCCACGGTCAGATGCTTTCTGTCTTCCCTTCGCTTAGGGGGAGGGGTACAGCGGGAAAACAGTGGTTTAGTAGTCAGAAACACCTCAGTATGACTCCAAACTCTGCCTCTCATTAACTTTATGATTTTGAGAAACTTAAGCTTTAACCTAGCTGAGCCCCAACTTCCTCACTTGCATGATGTAAGAACGAAATGAAATAACATAAGTAAGCACCTAGCATAGTGCCTGGTGAGTAAGCACTCAACACGTCAGTTCTTTTGTTTCCCGAATCTCTTACTCATAGATCAGATCACACATATATTGAGAGAATTGCCAAGTCTATACGGCTAAGTGAAATATTTAAGAACTACGTGGCTTGGGAATTACATGACATAAGCCTTGCCAAATTAAAAAAAAAAAATCTGCAATTAATAATGACAGGGAACCATGACAGATAATGCTGTCTAAAAAGAAGCTCCTTATCCACACAGAGGGTCTGATACCCCCATCCGTGCCCAAGGGAGAAAAGCATATGTAGTCCCATCCTTTGGTGTTGGCTTTGGCTGGCTTCCTGGTTTGTACTCCAGAGGGAAGAAACCCTCCCTGGCCTCTGTCGGAGTTCTGCTGCCACTCTGCACACCCTTGGCATTTTCAAATAGCCCCAGCTGGGCAGGCAAGGCACAGGTGACAGAGCAACAGCTGTGGAGATTCTGCTGGGCCAGCAGTGGCCCTTTACCCAGGCTTCCTGACGACCACAGCTATGACAGGTTCGCTTGTGAAACTTCCTCTCCTGGCTTGCCGTAGCCAGTATAGGGCTATCTTCCTGTTCAGTTGGTTATGACCCAGGGTGAAGAAGGATATGGGAGAGCCTGGGTGGCAGAGACCCTTTATATTCAATATACTTGATGAGTTTACAAGAAAATCACTGGATTTTCCTCCTTTCCCAAAGCATAACTTGTTGATAAAACCTATGGTAAGCTGAATGATGGCTCCAAAGACATCCAGGTCCTAATCTCTGGAATCTGGGAAAGTTATAATGGCAGAAAAGAGTTTGTAGATCTTTTAAAAGATCTACAGATGGGGAGATTATTCTGGATTATCCAGGTGAGCCCTAAATGCAATCACAAGCGTCCTTTAACAAAGAGGCAGGGGACCGGCCCGGTGGCGCAGCGGTTGTTTGCATGTTCTGCTTCGGTGGCTCAGGGTTCATTGGTTCGGCTCCCGGGTGTGGACATGGCACTCTTGGCAAGCCATGCTGTGGTAGGCGTCCACATGTAAAGTAGAGGAAGATGGGCACAGATGTTAGCTCAGGGCCAGTCTTCCTCAGCGAAAAGAGGAGGATTGGCAGCAGCTAGCTCAGGGCTAATCTTCCTCAAAAAAAAAAAAAAAAAAAAAGGAAAGAAAGGCAGAGGGAGATTTTGACACAGAAGAAGAAGGCAAGTTGACACTGAAGCAAAATGCTGCCTGGCAGGCTTTGAAGAGGGAGGGGGCCCATGAAACAGGGAATGCAAGAAATGCAGCTGGAAGGGCTGGAAGAAGCCAGGAAGTGGATTCAGCCCTAGAGCCTCTGGAGGGAGCACTGGCCTGTTGACACATTGATGTTGCCAGTGAAACTGACTTCAGACTTCTGATCTTCAGAATTATAAGAGAATGGATGTGTTATTTCAGTCCCAAAGCTTGTGGTAGTTTGTTACAGCAGCCATAGGAAACTAATACAGAAGCTTATATATAATGAATTTTGTTTTTTCCCCAAAGCTTTTCTATACACATAATCTCACTGGATCCCCAAAATGACCCTACAGCATATATACACCATTATAACCCTTTTATAGGTGAGGAAATCGAGGTTCAGAAAGGTCAACAAATGGCTCAAGATCATCCAGCTAGTAAGTAGGGTGGCATTGGGATTTGAACCCAGCTTTGTCTCCTCCTGGAAAGCCTGTCTTGTTAAGACCATGTGCGTTTGCATGTTGTTATGTACATTTTACTGTTGGGAAAGGAGTCACAAAGAAGTAAGCACTTGCCTGACAGAAGCAAATAGCGGGGCTACAGGCAGAAGCTAACATCACTGATTATTTTCTAGGGTCTTTACCAACATATAAAGGGTAAGGAGAATGTGGGAAGCAGATAACTACCTTTCCTTTTTGTCAGACGGGTTCATTTCTGAAGAAGAGCCACACTCGGTCCTGTAGGTGGCTGTAAGGGTGGTGGATTCCTCTCTTTGTTTTTCTGTCCCCAAGTTTCAGTTTTTGTGTTTGAGTCACAAACCAAAAGCAAGGGTGACACTCTTCTCTGGGCTGCCCCTAGTTTGTGCGCCTTAAGGTGGAAACTTCAGGACACAAAGAGATTAAGTCAGTCAAAGGGTTATTTGCCAATCTCGCGTCTACTTAAACCAACGCTCAACAACAGTGTGATATTTTCGTTTTCAGCCCTCTGCTTGCGAGACCTTCTTTTTTCTCCTCCTCCTCCTGGATATTTGAGAGGTTTCACTCCTCGCTTTTTGGTTCTGGGTGGGGAGGTTGTACTCACAGGGCTGCGCACCCTCTGGGAAACTGCTACAGAGAAGGGCGCTCTCCCTCCTTTCTCACCTCCCTTTGGGAGGACAGATTGGCAGTGTTGACCTTCAGTCCTGAGTCCCCTCCCTCAATGCACAGGTCCCTCCGAGTCTTTTAGAAACAGTAGGAAAGCATAACTGCTCTTGCCCAAGCCAGTGTCCCCTATGGCTGCCTCCTCACCACCTACACAGACTCTGAATCACAACCAGATGCTGGCGAGGGGAGGGTTGTCCAATGCTCCATGCACGGACTTCCAACAATTCTGTTTTTAGACCTTTATAGCATCTCTCACCTTACGTGGCTCCTGGTGCCTCCAAATTTAAGCTTCTCAATGATTCTGCAAGGCAAATTGCTTAGCTTCTCCTTGGGATTCCCTTCTACAGTTTCCATAGCTCTCTCCCCTTTGCTGA